GAAACTTGTTCGCTACAAGTACTAGCGTAGATTTAATTCTTGGGAGTTCAAATAGGAAGTCAAGGCCAATTTTTAACATTGGAAATTTTTGAAGAATAGGGGGTGTAATGTTAGATATTGAAAATAAGTATATTTGTGTTTAGTGTGGTATAAAGTGTAATAAACTGTCGGCCGCGACTGCTGGGCGCAGGGCTGGTCCGATCGGTGTGATTTTAGTGTCGTTGTGTAGGTTGGACTTTGACTTGCGTCCAGTAGAAGTGGTCCAAACATGCCAAGATTATGGGGGTAACAATGGTGCACCTCTATATTTTGGCTATTTTTTGCAAGATTGTTCCTGTTGACTTGTAGATATAAACACAAATTCACTTATCGGCTTAAACACGACTTGTGTGTACTACGATTGTTAGAAAAATGTATATCTCAGTGAATTGCTTCCTGTTTCTATCAGAAGCGACAGTAAGGTACTAATAAAAATAAACATGATTGTGTCAAAAAATAGGAAACATTTTGATAAATTTTGGATATTACCATCTAAATTTGGGTATTGTTTACCATACATTTTTACATAAAAAATTCCATACCTCAACACACGCTTATAAAAGATCTCCCTTGATTTATCATTTATTTAGATTGAAATACAATAAAAAAAATACTCTTTACTGTCCCGTATCTAGAAAACTAAGCCTATTGAGACCTAAGTTTATAAAGCAAATTACACCTATATTTTAATTAATTAATTTATTTAATTATTCATTTACATATGACGCACCTCTATAGACTCTGAGAAAAATTTCAATTATAGAAGATATACTTTAGATATACCATTTGTGACCAAATTATAGTGTGTGCATAAAACCCAAAACCAAGCGAAAATTGATATATAGTTTCCAACCTAGTTAAAAGCCCTACAGATAAATATGATTAAAATACTCATAACTTTTCTGAATTAGACAAAGTGGTGAGTTATTAACATAATCTGTTAAGTTGAAAATGTATAAGTATAAGTATAAGTATATGTATGAATATAAGTACAAGTACTTACAAGTACAAATACAAGTATAAGTATAGGTATAATTATAGGTAATAAGTATAAGATATAAGTAAAGTTGATATGTGTATTAAATCAGTAGCAATCAGTAATCAGCATATCAACTTGTGTTGATTTTTTCTATACACACAGTAGAAAATCTAAGATGACTACAAAGAAATAATAATAATATCTCTGCTCCTCATTCTAATCACGAGAATTAGCCCATAAGTCGGAGACTTGTGCGGGAGAGGAGGCGGCGTATTATTATTAGGCAGATTTGCGTGCAGGAATGAGGGAAACCTGGAAAACCTCATTAATTAGGGGGGTGGTCAAATGCCAACCGGTGTCAATCTCTCACATTGACCCAAGCCAACATTTTTCCAACCTACCATACCTGCACAGAGGGTGCCAATCCTCCGTACAAGCATAGCTAATCTACGGTCTACCGGCCGCGGGAATCGAACCCGGGCAGAAATTTGCACACGATTTAAGGACTGACGCCTTAAACCGTGCGGCTATCGACCGATTATAAAAATATAAATGACTAGTATAATAATATAAATTAGGATTAGTAAATGATTTAGTAGTTATAACTACAAAACCTGGACTTATGTTTTTCTTAGGAAGCAATCCTATAATTTTGAAATTTAAAGTGAAATCGCTCTGTGTATAAAATATTTACATATTTAAGGGTAAATTTTGTCCAAAATCCATTTCACATAATAGCACAGGCCAACAAGGAAAAAATTCCAGAGATCAGACACTGCGTTTCCGAAGGCATTTGGCGCGCTGAATCCGAATATGGCCTCAGAATTGATCCATCACCCTAGGTTTCCGAGATATTCTAACCTAAAAGTGCAAAAAACACGTATTTTTGCTATTTTCAAGGTTATGTAACTTGGCGAAAAAATTTTTTTTCTCAAAACTGAAAATATCATTGGAAACTACTATCTTTCCCCTTCAAAACGCACTTTTTTATTTGTAAAAAGCTTTATTTTTCGCGGAGATATCGTCGATTAAAAATGATCAGTATAGCTACCTTATTAAACCATGGCTCGACCTATAACACAATTAATGGGTATTATGGGTTATTGGGTAATAGGGCTTGAAGTTAACCTTCCTGACGATTAGGGCTCACAGCGCTTAGTGTTATTGGGTTATAGGGCTTGAAGTTAACCTTCCTGACGATGAGGGCGCTCGCTCCGCTTAGTGTTGTGGGGTTATAGGGCTTGGGGTTAACGTTCCTAACAATTAGGGCTAGCAGCGCTCAGTGTTATGGGGTTAGCCATGATGTAATAATATAGCCATACTGGTTATCTTAAATTGACGATATCTCCGCGAAAAATAGAGCTTTTTCCAAATAAAGAAATGCGTTTTGAAGGGGAAAGATAGTCGTTTCCAATGATGTTTTCAGTTTTAAGGAAAAAATTATTTTCGCCAAGTTACATAACCTTGAATATAGCAAAAGTACGTGTTTTTTGCACTTTTAGGTTAGAATATCTCGGATGGATCAATTCTGAGGCCAGATTCGGATTCAGCGCGCCAAATGCCTTCGGAAGCGCAGTGTCTGATCTCTGGAATTTTTTTTTTGAAATTTTGTCGGCCTGTGTAATCAACATTTGTATATACAGCAGGAAAACCTTTGCCGCACTCTATATGTCCATAGGATACAATTCCTCGTTAAATATACCTATGATTACCATCAGAGATTACTTGAAAAGGGCTTCCACTGTCGCCTTGGCAGGAATCTTCACCTTCTCCTCCTCCAAGGCACAGTATGTTGAATGAGCTGGTGGAAAGCTTTTGATTCTTGAAAACACCTGCGCATTCACTAATGTTCCGTTTCGCTACATATAACTTTTGAAGTTTGTCAACGTTTTTACATGAAAATAAAATGAATTTATTTACGAGATATTGTTTCTTATATTCTTACTTCAGTCTTTGAACAACTTCAGGATCTAAGGACAAATTGGAAGACCACAGCATGATGTGTTAAATTAAAAACTAATTGTTACACTGAAGGAAATTTACTAGGAAAATCTAGTACAGAAAAATATACTATAATTTTCAAGCCTTGTCGACTCTCACTCTCTCCCCCCCCCTCTCTCTCTCCCTCTCTCTGTTTACTAAAGTAATCCAAATGGTAAAGATGGCCACCAAACATTTTTATTTTCAATGAAGCATTAATTTATTTTTTAAATTATTTTTAAAATTCTGACCATTTTTGACCATTTAACCATTTATGTAACTCTTAAAACAAGAGAGATACCTGTATAGGACAATTAAAAAGTTGTAACCCTGTATACATATAGTATATCGCAATGTAAGTGGAACTACCATAGTTTGAATGACTAGGTGGATTTCACAGGGTCTAACGACGCTTACAGTCTCATTCAATAAACATAGAAATCTAAATAAAAAATTTAGGTAAAGGAACGAATACATTGACCATGAATTTTTCGAGATAAAACGTCTGAATATGGTTCGGGTTGAGGCAGTACAGTATTGGGGGTCATGAAGGTTTGCAAAAATGTAATAAAATTTCCAGGACAGTATTTAACAAAATAAAGTTAATGATGGCCCTGGAGAGACTAAACGTTAAAAAAAATTGCCATGAGAAAGTGTTCTTCTATTGTCAATATCACCTCAACAAGGCTGAAATGAAACAAAAACGGATTTCCAAAATTTCGTTTTTTTTAATATTTCGGAACCTAATCATGTTAGCCTTCATTTTTTAGAGGCATAATGCTACTCTCCTGATTGTGCAACTTTGACCCTATTTAAGTTACTTCGTATCTGTTACTGTTTCCGAGATCCCTGTAGTGAGAAGCGAATTTGTAACAGCCTTTATAGCTTATTTTTATGGTAATTTTTAAAAAAAGAGAAATCACCTACGCCTCATTGTTCCCAATAGCTTTCTTTTTTATAACGTTAATTGTTAATTAATTATTATTGGACGTATCGGACCGGGATTTTAGAATCAGTTAAAGAAAGGGTTAAACTTTCATATTCAGAAAGTTTTACATTGATGGTTCATGTAATTTACGCGCTGGTAGCAGTAAAAGTTAACGTTAATGCATATACGCGCATGCGTCCGGGGCTCCATCTCCCGTCACGCCGCTCTCGTCGCGCGCGAGGTTTTTGACTTGAACGTTTTAAATTCGGTTCAATTTGAATTTATTTTAAGTCATTCTCATTCAAGAAACATTTAAATAATCAATTTTTCCAACATTTAATATGTTTCGCCGTAGGTCATCGTCTACGTTAAAAAATTTTTACCTAAAAATTTCACATTTTGGGAAACGATTCTGTATGTTTAAAAAGTGTAAGTGTTGACATATTTTTGTGTGAAGTTACATTCGCTTTATCAAGAACAAAAAAGTAGATTTTTTTAGCATGATTGATTTTTTCCCTAAATCAAAGTATAAAATCCCTCTTCAGATGTGGACATAATGTACATATTTAGAGGGTGTTAGATTTTATTTTCTTATGTTACAGATACTTTCCTCATAATGAAGTACACAAGGGAGAAAAATAGAATTTTTAAGATTAAGATAAAAACTTTATCACTCAATAATTGCAATTTTAAAATCTTGCATTAGATATTTTAATATCAAGAAACTTGATTCGAGTTTATCTATGTATAGAATTGATTTTTGATGCAGGTCTGTATTAATTGTCCAATTATTTTTAATAATTTGATTTAATGAAAAAATATTTTTTGTTGGATTACTGTTAATTAATTTTAAGTTCAACAATAAATTGTTGAATTGTCTTTTGAATTATAAATAAATAAATTTCAAACAAGTTTGAAATATACCTACTATTAAGTGTTTCATATGAAACTTAACTATGAACATCGTTAATATTTTAAACTTACTAACTTGTTAGTTGTGTTAATTTCATAGTCCACGTCATGCATATAATATTTAATGTCATATATAACGCTGCAATCCATGTTCTACAAAGATTGCGTTGCGAGATTCTGGCAGCAAAATGAAAATGAAACGGGTGAGTACCACTAATTGCTTTTTAAATCGTTATAAATTTGACATTTTTGTAATTTAAATGGACATACAAAAAATTCAAGGTTCTACTTATAAAATAATGGCACAAGTTCTTAAAAGACTTTTCCAAGTTATTTTTTTAATTAATATTTTGCGAAGAATTCCGTGCAATTCTGACATTGTATTGTTATTTAGCGGTAAAAAATATATGAAGTTTATCTTATTTTGTAAGCTTGTGTAATTTTTGTTTTAAATTTTTAGCATATAGATCTCTTAAAATTCATCAAAGAAGAAAGGACGTGCATGGTCTTTGGAGGATTTTATTCGATAGAGAAGTACAAAGTATTACACAATCTTTCAGCAATTCTGATCATGACAGTAGTATCGCTGTACAATTTACTAGGTCTTGTACATGGATTTCAGCACATCTCAAACGTAGCGGTATTTTCTCAGTCAATTGCTTATCTCTTAACAGGAATATCATTTTCATGCAAAATGATTAATTTAATTATGCACAAAAATAACTTGCTACTATTGGATGAGATTTTACAGAACCCTATATTCACTGAACTCGAGACGACGGAAGAAGAAGTAGTTTTGAAGAATACATTAAAATTTGGTCAGACACTTAAAAAGACTTATAAATTGTATACTAGCGCAACAGTTACAGTTCAAGTGTTATACCCGATGATAAACAACCCTGGCCATAAAAATTTTCCTTTACTCTTTTGGTTTCCGTTCAATCCAGAGGATCACTACTACAAAGTTTACTTTGCGGAGATACTGATGATTTTTTGTATATGTACTTTCAATGTCACTGTGGACCTTCTGAACGTACTCTTCATGGATTTGTGTGCTGCACAATTTGAGTTACTTAAATACAGACTGAAACACTTTGGACGGGAATTTCATGGAGGAGAAGCAGTAAATGATAGGACGCTGTATGAGAAACTGAATAAGATTATTGTCCATCAAAATTTAGTATACAGGTTTGTGACAGTATTTTTTTTATATTTATGCAGAATGGCCCGGAAATGCTTGAATGGAGTGAAATAGTGCGAAAATAATGAATTTGTCGAATCATTGTTCGGTTTTATGGGGACGTTTCTTATAAAATTTTTCTATCCAAATTTCCACTAAAAAGCTATAATGATTTGAAACTGGGAGAACTTTGTTTTTTTCTACATTTTTCAATAACACCTGCCAATAAACAGGGTTATTCAGTCATAATGTCATTAATTTTAACCACGTATTCGGAAGGCTTAATAAAGACAGAAAATCGGAAAAAAAATAAATTTTTTACTCGACTTTTAAAAATGAAGGAAATCAACCCATAACTCCCGCTACGAGGGCGGCCCTGGCAGATGCCCGGATGCTCAGAAAATTTTGTAACGTAATGTCACGAACAATTGTCGGCTGAAGCGAACAGCGTTGTCAAGTTCACATCATAATGTGTGGTTCACATTTACTGTTAAACGTATTCAAGTAAATAAAGGAGCATGCTGCATTTTATTATAAATAATTTTAACAATTGTATTAACTTAACGAAGAATGTTTTAACAAGCCTGACTTCTCGAAGTCAACTTTCGTTAAAAGAAAATAAATAGAGCAGAGGTAGTTACCTGTTTGTAGGCACACCGTATTTTATCAAATAGAAAAAGTCGGCACACTACTAAATACCCGAATATACAAAATGCACTACACACGGTTACAAAACCATTAACAATTTAAAGCGTTTATTCAAATCTACCACCGTCCATATCTCCCGCATTTTTCCAACTTCATCTATCATACCATACCGCGCAGCGAACGTGCAGGACATCGATAAAATGACTTAAATGTGATAGAGGCTGTTTTAAATTTAGTCGAGGAGCAGCCTACTATTTCCACAAGAACAATTTCAAGGCGACTGGAGATATCATAAACCAAAGTTTGGCGGATATTGCGCGAGAATTCACTCAATCCGTACCATTTTTAAAAACTTTAAGCTTTAAAACCAGCTGATTTCCTCAATCGTCTTGAATTTTGCAGTTGCAGCTAAATCGAAGTGCAGCAGTCACTAACTTTATTTTTATTTTTAAAACAAAGTGCGCTGGACGGATGAACGCTGTTTTACTCGTGCTGACATTTTAAATAGGTAAAAGACATATTACTTTCTCAAAAACAATAAGTAGTAGTAAGTAGGTAGGTACCTAGGTTACACCAAAGTTTATATTTACACTAAAGTTTACATTTATTATGTAAACTTTGGTTATACGCAACTGCATATTGAATAATAAATTGAAATACTAAAACTATGTATTATTTAACATAATAAATTATAAAACGTTAAAACATTAATATTTTCCTTTGATAAAAGACCGACAACTTTTTGCTCTACTTTGCATGGAATACGATCCTACTACAGTTCGTATTAGTCTAGGAGTCAGATAGGGTTCCGTTTACTAGCTATAAAAATAAAAACTTTTTACAGCCATTTAAACATTTAATTTGTTGATAATAATTAAACTCACCACTCTCAGGCTTTGCGACCAAGTTTTTTGGATTCAGGAGCTCAAAATACTATGAATAAGTTGTTTGCAGCCGTGGCACTCTGTTGGCCACGGCACCCTATCTGGCTCCTAGACTATTTGTACACGTGCAAATTAAAAGTGGATCAGATAGGTTATTGACCTAGATACAGGTTAGCCTAGGTCGGAAACACGTACCGAGTTGTTTATTTGTCTCCGTCCGGTTGTTTTTTTATCTTCTATTACTTAGAGTCAATATTTAAATACTACATACATTTCACCCTCTCTTTATAATTTATCTAGTGAGTGTTGTTTTTTTATGTAATTATTTCTGTAATGAAATTGAAATGGTTGTGAAATGAAATTTAAATTACTTGAACTCTTGGAGTTTTGTAACTTCAAAATTAAATTTTATTTAAAGTGAAACAGAGCTAATTTCTTTGCAGCCATAATAGTCACATTTGGTCAGATGAAAAGCCGCACACTATTCGTCGGTTTAGCTTTCAGAGGAGATTTGGTGTCAATGTATGGGCATGAGTATATGGTGATCGTTTAATTGGGCCGCATTTTCTACCTGAACATCTGAATGGGCCGCGTTACTTTAAATTTTTAGTATAATAGAATAGAATATGGGGTTATATGAAATCTGTCGTATATCACACCGAGGTAGAGAATGTAGAGAGCAGTTGCGGAATTGTATCGAAGATGCCGCTGAAGAAATACATAACAAGCCCGAAGGCTTACAGCAAATTAAAAAAATTAACATTATGATGTTAATAAAAACTGATTTTTGGCAAGGCATACTCAGACCTGCTCGAGGTTCTTGCTTTGCAGGGCAACAATAACAATTTAATGTGTTGATTGCATAATTATAAAAAATAATTTATAGCATTTTAAATTATTATTGACTGACGTGTAAGCAAACCGTTTATTTATTGTCTTTATATGAGCGAAAATATATAAATATGGCAACGTTGCATCTAGGGCGCGTTGTTCATATCGTAGCCGTGCATAATATTGTGAATAACCGGCTGACGTCAGCCGGTCAGTAACAGCCTGAAAAGGGGGTTAAATAAAGATTTGAAAAATTTTTTTTCTGCTTAAATATGCATTTCATATTTTTTTAATCACGCCATCGTATTATACTCATTTTCCTCTATCTGCTCTTAAAATTAATGACATTATGACTGAATCACCCTGTATAAAATAATTTTGGCATAATGGTAAAGCAGTAGTATTTTCGGCGCTCTATATGCGGCTGATACAAATTGGACCATTTTCATTTTCAGTTTTTCCTTCGTTCTTTTTTATTTTAAGTTAAAACAAAATAGAATCTTTGAGCATTACAAAAATTCGGTACTTCCGTTTTTTTAACAAACTAATTGACAAAGCTGAAGAGTTGTCTCACCATAATTCCGGTCTCTTTCTTCATGTACGGGACTTTTGACACTTTATTTCTAATGGTATACCCACGGTCTCCACCAAAATTTAGCTCTGTCGGAATTTTCGTTATTTGACCACTATTTTTATGACTAATTTGACCGGACTATAACTACGAATTAGTAAAATAACTACTTCTATTTTTCTATACAGAAAAGGGAAACTCTTATGTTATTAATTCAGTACTAAAATAGCAAAGTAAACAAATTTACAACTGCAATTTCAACTTTGTATTCTTATCAATCAGGCTTTTTCGTATCCGTTATAANGTCGTGTATCACACCGAGGTAGAGAATGTAGAGAGCAGTTGCGGAATTGTATCAAAGATGCCGCTGAAGAAATACGTAACAACCCTGGTTTATTCCATTGCATCCGCCGCTCATATATCCAACGTGTACACTTGTGCATAGACGGTAACGGTAATGTATTTGAACATTTGCTGTAAGCCCGAAGGCATAGGTATAAGAACCATTTTTGTAGATAATTTTAAGATCTATAATTTTTGTCCGAGCTACTTTTTTGATAAAACTTTTTCGAAAAAAATCCAAAAAACCTCAAATTTTGACCTTTGACCCCGAATAACTTTTTTTAGCACACATGGGATTGGTGGGGACTTTTGACACCTTATTTCTAATGGTGTACTCAAGGTCTCCACCAAAATTTAACTCTGTCGAAATTTTCGTTATTTGACCACTATTTTTTATGACTAATTTGATCGGACTATAACTACTAATTAGTAAAATAACCACTTCTATTTCTTGTAACCGCAAGGGCAAATTTTCTTCTTTTTGTTTTCACAATTCTTGCAAAATAATTTCTGTCACCAAAAATCAATGTATACGAGGGAAATGACTCGATAGTCTACAGAAACAGGAGGAGAATTAATTTTTTTTATTTTGCCGAAACACTGGTTATCTTTTATCCGTGTCTGTTTCTCACTTGCGACATGCATTGTAATGCGCGTTTTCATATATTTCTGTTAAATCAGAATATAATTTGTGAAAATCATTGATCCATCGTTTATATCAGAAAAGGGAAACTCTTTATTAATTCAGTACTAAAATAGCAAAGTAAACAAATTTACAACTGCAATTTCAACTTTGTATTCTTATCAATCAGGCTTTTTCGTATCCGTTATAACTATAACTAAAATTAAGGGAAAAACTGTATATTTCACCATATGTAAGCATTTCTTTATGATTTCTTTCAAGTTGTTTAATAAAATATGTTAGTTATAATTCTCAATTGGTTTTCAGATTTTCTAAGCTGACAGAAGAGACATTTTCAGCGGGCGTTTTTTGCCATTTGGCGTGTACCGTCATAGTGCTCTGCTGCGCTATTTTCAAGGCAGTGATCGTAAGTAAAAACATCGCAAATTTAATTTACCTGGCACCTGTACTCTTATTCTAGACTCCTATCAACAGCATGCAATTTCTGATGATGGCAACGTATTCTTTTTGCATGACATTGGAAGTTTCACTGTACTGCTGCTATGGACAGAAGGTGTTGGATTCAGTAAGGCAACTTTTGCATCGTAAAAGTTTTATTTGAAAAGTTTCTATTCATGTGAATAATGATAGTACATATCTTAGTCTGTAATTTTTTTTCTGACCTATGGTCGCAACTAATAAAACAACTGATTATAATGTATTAATAACATATTTATTAGGCGTATGTATGTTCTCAAATCTTTAGTAATTCTTTAATGAAATATGTTTAGAGCAGCACAATTACAGAAGCATGTTTCATGGCAAATTGGTACAATTGCAATGTGAAAGTTCAGGAAGATTTGGTGATTATCATGAACAGAGCAAACAAATTTGTCACCATGAAAGCAGGAGGCATGTTCCCTTTGACTTTGGAGACATTAATGAGGGTAGTATTACAATTACAGTACCTACATTCAATTTAAGAAAAAATCTCAGCTTCAGACCACTCACTAACTTTGTTAATTTTCACTTAAATATTAAAAGACTGTAATTATCTAATGGACACATAAAAAGTGGTTTGTCCTTTAATCACTCATACTAAGTAGGCTGGTATACAGGGCTGTTATTTTCAAGCGCGATTGTCTCGCCAGGCTGCATCAACCTTTAAGACAAAATAATATTAACTATATACATATATTACTTTTTACTTTTTTCTGTTTCAGATATGGAGTTCTGCATATTCATTCCTCACTTTGCTTATGCAAATATACAATGAAAATTATTAAGAACTTTCCGCACGTAATTATCATGTACTTGCACTTGAGACACTTATAGTTGTTGATAGAGTGCACTGTATTTTCTCAAGTAGGTAATGTAGTAAAAAATGTCACCACTTTTTCAACTGTATTGCACCTAATGAATGAATAAAACTTTCCGATGTTTGCATCTAATATAATAATGGTTATTAGGTATTTACTACTGCTTTTCTATTGTTTACTTTTTTTGTAACTATTCAAAAAATTAATATACCTAAAATCGGGTTTCACGTCACAACATCAGGAGTTAATAGTGCTGCCGAAGAAAAAAATAAATAGTTTTTATTTTTTTGTAAGATCTGAGAGGTTGTAGGTATGTATAATTAATTCCATTGTTCTGTATATTCAAATTAATCATTTATTTTAACTCAATATTTGGTCAATTAAAAACCAAGCTCGAGCTTGAATTTAAATCATATTAGAGAAAACATCAACTCTTAATTGTTTTTAAAAATCAGAATTGAGAAAAAAACGCTCACTGAATGGGGTCATTCAGTAAATTTTCAAAAACGTTGTTATTGTATACGCAAAGTATTGCTCATGATTAGGTGATCCTGAAAATTTCAACTCAATCCGTTGAGCGGTTTCCAAACTATATAATTTTTAAAATGCAAATATTTGTCTTAGCCCTAGCAATGCAATGACGTCACCACATGGGACGCTCAGCTGGCTTGGCGTGCTGCATAGCTGTTATACGCGTGTACGCAACTTCCAGATAAGTTTCTGCATCTGCAGAATGTTTTAGCGTTTGTGCATATTAAATTTATAAAAATGGAAGTAAATTTCATAAAAGCATATTCTTCTAATTTGCCAGAAGTAGGTTTGTTAATATGGTCATAACATTTTTTAATAAAAACCACAGCTTTATCAGTGCTGAGATGAGAGGAGTGAAAATGCAAAGGTACGCTTCAATAACGTGTAAAACTTCTATAAAGTACTTTTGTACCGAAAGTTTTGATGTTTTTGTACAATAAGAATAAGGATTTTGCGTTTAATTGGGCGAAACCGTTTCTGTCACAGGTTTCAAAGATTTACCTAATCAAATGCAAAATTCTTATTACTATTTTTATTTCCATGGAAACTACATAAAATTTACTTAATATCTTATAAATATATTAATAATTTAATTTTTTTTATAACAATGGAAAAACACTAACACAAGTGTAGTGTTTCTAGAGGATACAAAACTGTTTATTACATACCTAAATCACACAGGGTAGTTTTGTTTCTTTCAAAAATCATTATTCAAATAAAAGCTATTAAAAAAAACAAATCAAAGTAGAGACTAATAGACTATTGATTTTAGATCCGCACGACAGAATTACGGACACATTATGGTGTTTGAGCAATTTCAGCAACAAAAGATATCCGCCCCACTATTATGATCTCCTGCCTTTGTCACTCCCCCTGTTCTTTTGTTTGGTTAAGCTTATAGAGTAATATTGCAATGCAGCTAAATAAACATAAAAATTACTCAACTTATGTATTGATTTTTTTATACAGTATTTTTATAATTTTAAAAATGATGCTCTCATTTAACTTAAATTTAAATTCTATAGTGAACATGATATACCTAATTACTTATTTTTATATTGCAGTCTGGAAAATTGTTATATGGGGCCAGATATACAGGGTGGCCAAATGAAAACGAAAGAGAGCCATTTTCAGGAACTGCGTCAACATTGTAGAAAAACGCTAAGATCCGTCGATTTTAGATTAGAGGGGGACATTCTTTGGTGGTATTTTTGACTCCGCCACTTTCACCCTCAAGCAAGGGTAAGCATCACCCCAAAATATTTAAATGGCATTGGGGGTTGAGAAATATTTCTTTTGAAAGCTCTTACAATTCTCTTTACAACAGACTTTAAATTTTATAATTCCGCCCAATACTTTGAAAAAAAATTACATTTTAAAATTTAAATTATGTTTAGTTGCTTAAATGTTCAAACTGATGACCGCCCGCTTCCATACAAGAATAAAGATTTGCTGCCTCTTCTCCCAATCCAATTCCGTAGAAAACGTTGGTCCAAATACAGACGGACAATTAACGCATAATGGAGCACCGTCCTGTTGAAAAATCAAATGATCTTCATCATACTCTGGAACATTTTCAATAATATCAGTCAAGGCAGGGTCAATAGCGTCTTCCAGTAATTGCAAATATATTTGGCCAGTCAAATTACCAGGTACAAAAAAAGGACCCACCAGCCGGTCACCGAAAATTCCAGCCCATACATTTAATTTTTCCGGTTACTTTGTTTACACCTCGTGAAAAACTCTTGGGTTTGAATCGGACCGATAGCGGCAGTTGTGACGATTTACCGTACAGGTTCAAGAAAAAACTGCATTCATCAGAAAAACAGATATTAAAAAGGAACTGTGGATCGTTCCCTGCTCGCTCACTTATTATTTCGCAAAATTGCAAACGGCGGTCATAATCATTCTCATGAAGTTCCTGGACAAAATGTATCTTGTATGGATGGAATATATTCTTCTTCAAAATGGTTTGTATGCTAGTTCGATTGATCCCAGTCACAGATGCCAGCTGTCTGAGCTGCCTCGTATTTAATGTAGGATCAAGATGTACTTGTCCCAAAACTGCAACTTCACTAGCTTCATTAACTATAGGTTTTTCAATTTCTCGTTTTTTATTGCCTACGTTCCCTGTCTCTTGAAATTTTTTTACTAACTCTAGAACATACTTCCTCCTGACTTATCGATCTTGATGTTGTTCATTAAATAGCTGAGCTGTTCTATTCGCACATTTATCGTTCATAAAGTAAAGCGAAATGATATCTACATTTTTACCGTTACTAATTGTTTGTATCAACTTTAAAATCAAAATTCTTAATAAGTATTGGGCGGAATTATAAAATTTAAAGTCTGTTGTAAAGAGAATTGTAAGAGCTTTCAAAAGAAATATTTCTCAACCCCCAATGCCATTTAAATATTTTGGAGTGATGCTTACCCTTGGTTGGGGGTGAAAGTGACGGGGTCAAAAATACCAGCAAAGAATGTCCCCCTTTAATATAAAATCGACGGGTCTGAGCGTTTTTCTACAATCTTGACGCAGTTCCTGAAAATGGCTCTGTTTCGTTTTCATTTGGCCACCCTGTATATACTGTCATCTTAAAGTATACTTTATAAAAGTATTGCTGTATAATGAATGAAAAATAAGTTTCCTTCAAGCTGAATGATGAACAAATGAAGGAGTACCGAAAAGGTCGTAATGCAATCCTATATCATTGCCTGTAAAATAAAGCAACATGTATTTTCTCAAAAAATCGTTATTTCGGAAAGGTTTTTAAATGTCGATTCAATTGTTTTCATTACAGATTTTGACTCCTAGGGCTTTTTACTTACATTTCCACATTATACATATTTAATACATTGATTAGAATTATAGATGGACAATACCATGAATATCGTTAATATTTTAAACTTAGAGGTAATTTAATAGTTCACGACATGTATACATACATTTAATATGATATAATAACACTGCAGTTATTGTTTGACAAACATTGCTTTCGAGATTCTAGAAGCAAAATCACGATTTTGTGCCCCTAACATCTAAAGGCAAAATGGAACAGGAAAGGGTAAGTAGATACCACTAATTACCTTACTTTACAATTTACATAGCTATTTATTTCTACAAAAAATAGCCAGACTGTTGTTAAAAAGAAATATACATTTTTAGATATGTTTCGATTTATAGAAATACAAACTATTAAAGTAATAATTAAGAGATAAATTAAACTCTACTATATTTTTTATAAATAGACCCTAAGAAGCATATTTGGACATTATAACTGTCACAAAAGTTCAGATTCTAAGCCGCAAATATTTTTTTTGTTCCACTTTTTGGAAAATTACAGGAGCATTTTTTTTTTTCTATAACAACATTATTGGATATTTAATTTTTAAATTTACAATAACAATTCTCAATATAAAATAATAATATATAACTATATAACTAATAATATAACTTTTCAAATATGACCATTAAATATTATAATAGGTGTAAAAATTTCAATTTTGAGGAAGCATTATGTAAATTATTTAAGTTTCACAACAACATGACAAGTAAAAACATATCATGTTGTTGACTTGTACACCTGTAAATCGAAACACCCTCTACATTGTTATTCCTAATTTCTATCTTAAATTTTTAGCATATAGATTTACTAGACTACATCAAAGCGGAAAAAAAGACTTTGGCCTTCATTGGGTATTATCCAATAAAAGAGAAAATGTATAAAACGTTACACACTCTATCAGCAATTTTCTTCGGGTTTTTCCCAATGATGTATAGCGTACTCGGTATCATGTACGGATTTCAACATATGTCCAACCTAGAAGAAGTCTCTGAGTTAATTGGATATCTCTTGACAGGAATGTCAATTGTAGTCAAAATGATGAATTTAATTTGGTATAAAAAGAACATACTAGAATTGGATGACATGTTACAGAATCCCATACTAACTAAACTTGAATCAGAGGAAGAAGAAATACTTTTGAAAAACAAACTGAAACTTGGTCAGATTCTCAAGAAGGCGTTCAAAATCTTTATTGCCGTAACAGCTATACTTCATACTCATATATTATACCTGTTAGTTATAAATATTGATCCGAATGCTATTACTTTGCTTTTGTGGTTTCCGTTTAATATAGACGATTACTTATACGAAGTTTATATTTCTGAGTTCTTTTTAGTTCCTTCGATAGCTGTACTCGATGCTATCTTGGACATTCTGAACATAATCTTCATAGATTTATGTTACGTCCAATTTGAGTTACTTAAGCACAGGTTGAAACATTTTGGACGGACATCGCATGAAGAAGAAGCAGTGGATGATACAGTGGTATATGACAAACTCGGCAAGATTATCATACATCAAAATTATGCATACAGGTTTGTTACAATGTTTTTCTATTTCTGTATTTTTTATATTTACACGGAGTGTCCTGGAAATAATTGGAAAATGGTTTAATTAGTGTTATATACGTCTTACATATTTCATAATATTTTCTCTTAACCATGAATTTTCTTGTAGTTTCTTTGTATATTATCTTTAATTTATTAGTGCAGAGAAAGAATGTCGAAGGTAAGGCAGTATTTGTCGCAGCCATTCCCGTTTAAGATAAACACAATCCTCCTCAATCCTCGTAACACTCTCGTAGGCCCAAAACTACCCCTAATTTTCGTTCTTGCCCTAAAAACAATATCTATGTTCCTCCGCCCGTTTACAAGGGTGCTCATTACGAATCTGATAATTACAATCTAGTCCATTGAAAAGTTACATTTGGGGTTGCAAAACGCACGCAATTTTATTTTTTGGCGCGCTCGCAGCATTTCTCGGCCACTCTTGGCCGCCTCCGTATACTGCGTCTCTCTCGCACTCACTCGAAGTATACAGGTTCGGAAAGTGCCGATGATCCATCTGCCGTTACGTGAGAGCGATAAAGTAAGTAATAGAAATCCGTGCGATAGGGAAGGATGGCTATAATGAAGGCGTCTCATAGTCACCGCCCATTTCGCCCTTCCACAAATAAAATCCACTTCTTTTTTGTGGAAAGGCGAAATGGGCGGTGACTATTAGACGCCTTCATTATAGCCATTTTTCCCTATCGCACGGATTTCTATTACTTACTTTATCGCTCTCACGTAACGGCAGATGGACTATCGGTACTTTCCGACCCTGTATACTTCGAGTGAGTGCGAGAGAGACGCAGTGTACGGAGGCGGCCAAGAGCGGCCGAGAAACGCGGCGAGCGCGCCTTATTAACAATAAAAAAACAAGTCTTCAGAATAAAATATGCCGGCGTAACTCCTCGGGTTTTTGTTAAGGGATGTTCAAAGATTATTTAAGAATTTTTGCAACACTAAAAATTGCAATTTTTAATATAGTTTATTAACGTTGAAAATTGTTAAAATCGCGTTTTTTCGAACAAAAATCGTTAATATCTCGAAAACGGTAGATTTTAGAGAAAAGTTGCATAGGAACTTATTTGTTCAGGATACCCCAAAAAGCCCAAAAGCGAAAAAATCTAAAATTACGAATTTGTTTAAAAAAATTGTTTAAACAATTTTTAATCATTAGTAACGTCTGGCAACATGCGGATGTCATTTTTTTATTGCTCACTCTCCCGCAAATTCTTTTCAATCCATGTAAATCGGTAATCTGGAACCCGTTGATTTGGCGCTCGTGCATCAATAAAATCAACTGGCAAACGTTCGTTATGTATATATTTTTATTGCTTAAATTAAAATAATAAATAATAGGGCATTTTATTATGATTGAAATAGGATCAAAGGCTTGTTTACGCTACGAGAGCTCGAGATAGACTGTGAATAATAGATGTAATGTTTTTAGGACGTAGAATAATTTAGGCGACAGTCGGAATTATGTTTCTGCGCATATGAAGGTCAAAGCTCACAAGATTTTGAAACAACTCTACACTCCTACCCAAGTTGTCTTCGCAAAATACTAAGACTTTGATCAGTCGGTCATCTCTTCATTAGAAAACGCCATTTGAAACGAATTGATAGACAATTCATTTATTATAAAATGATATCATCGCTTACTATGATAGTAATTGTAGTGAGTAATTGTTGTACTTGAGTAGTAGTGATGAATGATTGTCTAAAATTGAAAAAAAAAATCGTAAAAACTATGAATGTTACAAGATTATACCAAGAGCACGAAAATCTCGAGAAAGGACTGATGCATCAATAAAAATAAAATGAATTAATTCCAGCGACCAAATAAAAAGTTATGGTAATTCTTGTACCAATACACTCAAGAATTTACCACTAGCCCAAAGCATATGGACGCGGTTGCTTCATCAAAACATGAGTTTTACTTAGGAACAAGTCCACAGCAAGTTTCATTAAAATCCATGGTAACACTCTCCAGATATTACAAAAAACATTTTTTTTCAAGAACTTTGACAGTCAATAGCAGAGGAGCCAGGCATTTTTTCTTAATAGGTCAAATCGTCTTCTTTTNCAATAAAATCAGCTGGCAAACGTTCGTTATGTATATATTTTTATTGCTTAAATTAAAATAATAAATAATAGGGTATTTTATTATGATTGAAATCGGATCAAAGGCTTGTTTACGCTACGAGAGCTCGAGATAGACTTTGAATAATAGATGTAATGTTTTTAGGACGTAGAATAATTTAGGCGACAGTCGGAATTATGTTTCTGCGCATATGAAGGTCAAAGCTCATAAGATTTTGAAACAACTCTACACTCCTATCTAAGTTGTCTTCGCAAAATACTAAGACTTTGATCAGTCGGTCATCTCTTCATTAGAAAACGCTATTTGAAACGAATTGATAGACAATTCATTTATTATAAAATGACATCATCGCTTACTATGATAGTAATTGTAGTGAGTAATTGTTGTACTTGAGTAGTAGTGATGAATGATTGTCTAAAATTGAAAAAAAAAATTCGTAAAAACTATGAATGTTACAAGATTATACCAAGAGCACGAACATCTCGAGAAAGGATGAATCAATAAAAATAAAATGAATTAATTCCAGCGACCAAATAAAAAGTTATGGTAATTCTTGTACCAAGACACTCAAGAATTTACCACTAGCCCAAGGCATATGGACGCGGTTGCTTCATCAAAACATGAGTTTTACTTAGGAACAAGTCCACAGCAATTTTCATTTAAATCCATGGCAACACTCTCCAGATATTACAAAAAACATTTTTTTTTTTTCAAGAACTTTGACAGTCAATAGCAGAGGAGCCAGGCATTTTTTCTTAATAGGTCAAATCGTCTTCTTTTGAGCCAAAGAATATCGCAATACCTTTTTGATCATGTGCTTATGGGACACCCTGTATACTTGCTATAGTTGATTAATATTATCGTACTTTTTTCAAAAGCGGAGGAAAAAGGAGATATAAATATCGATTCAAGCGAACATGAAAGCGATATCGAGAAAAGTGATGTCGGGGAAAGCGGCAATGATAGTGACGAATAAATTGTACTCTATACTCCACGGTCGAAATTATAGAGAGTGACTCAGACATAATATAAAAACACTATTACCATAATGCGTATAAAATATAAAATTATTTTTATACGGTTCAATATTATTTATCTTTGTGCCGCTCGCTACGCACCGCACATCGATAGAATTTATAATCGTCTATAGACTGAGTTACACTGAACGTCGATCTATATTCTATCTCTGTCTTTTGCATTTGGTAGGGAATAGGGAAATGCTTTTTTAGTGGGTTTTAACGGACTGATTTACCCGTCCTGAGAAACGTCATAGCATAAGCGGTCTAATTCCATGGCTATAATAAATTTATAAATTAAAAAAACACAACTGGGACGATTTAAAATGCTGTAATAATTAAAATGGATCAAAGTGCCGGTTATAGCAAATCGTAAAAAAATATTAGATGTTATGTTTTATTATCTTCTTTCAATATTTTCTATATCTTGTTGCCTTTTACGCAGACACGCCAATGGATTTTCATTCCCGGCACGCTTCATCCTCCTTACTAGTCCAAAAGCTAGCGATGAGTCACTCTCTATTATTTCGACCGCGGAGTATAGCTGGGTAGTAAATTTTGCACTGGAGTAAAGTGATACGGCTACAGATTTTCATTACGAAATAACCTATGAATAAATCTTTATAGCCGGAAACATTCATTTCAAACCTATTCCTCGATCTTCTGTTATACGAAACAAAATATCTCCCTCTTGTACTGGAGTAATGTTGTTTGGACAGACATCTCGTTTTTTAGGATGAAATGACCCAGTTTCTTCTAACCGGTCATGAAAATTTTCAAATAATTTGTGATCCGATTGCAATCTGTTTGGGTTTAGTTTCTGAACACGTGCGAGCGCACAACGTCTATTAAAATTATCTTTTGCAGAAATACATGCCAGAAGCGCCCTCTAACGTCTAGAGAATGTTAAGTACGGATTAGTTTTTCTGGTCCCAGAAAACTCCCTAATCCAAATTGTCAAAGAGATTCCAAAAATTTTAAGAATTTTGAATTCAAAATTTTAATTTTGACATCCTGTATTTTTGAACTAACTGTGAAATATTTGATATTTCACATGTAGCAAAATACCCAAATAAATAAACAGAAAGTTGCTTAATTTATGTTTAATATTAACCACAGACAAAATAGCTATGGCGATAAGTTATATTGTCTGTGTATTAACTTAGATGAGATCAGAAAATTTTTATCAGGCATCGGCGAAAGCTTTTGTGGACGCGTGTTTTTGTGGAAGTAATAATATAAAGGCTCGTCCAGACAGTGGCAACAAGTGGCGACATTACTGTTAATTTTTGTCGAACTATGTTTCTTGTCATAAGAAACATGTCGCAGTAATAGGAAACCGAGTGTACACATACACGAAACATTATTTATGTTTTTTTTTAAAAGGAAGTTATAGTTTCATGAAACGTGTTGCAAATATCGGAAACCGGGTGTCTACACATAAGCAATACTTGTCGGATATTTATAGTATTCAGAATATAAATAATTGTTGTTCACAGTGTGGACTGAAAAATTTTTCGTCTAGCCTCCGGTATTTTTTTGCATTCCATAAGCACTCTGCTTTTTTCTACATTTCCAATCATAATATTATCTTATCACGTGTCCACAGGGCCATATACTTCACTACTTAAAAGTTTTATCACATACACAAAAGGATACGAAATTAAAACAAAAATCGGCGACAAGCGACTGAGTGATGACAAACCGTCCACACAAAAGAAACATAAGTAACAAGTCACGTGCTGTTGAAGACTGTTGCTGAATTTCCTTTGAAGTTTACCGCTCATCAAGCGAAACACGCGACACAAGGAAACATTGTCAGTGGCGACTCAGGCAACCCGAAACATGTTGCCAAAGTTGGCAACTTTGTTTCTATAAACTAGTCATTAATGACAAAAGTTACTACATGTTGCCTCTGTCTGGACGAGTCTTAACAAATAAATATCAAAATTTTTACTAGCTGTTCACTAGGTATTGCTGGTGTAACTCAATGCTAGTTGTAGTTAGTTGCTGGCAGCGATTCGTATTCTTCGGCACAACTCTTCACACGAACCAATAGATTATTTGTAAACTATATGTTTCATTCAAGATCAAAAAGAAGAATCAATAGGATTGAAGTCCGGACTTCTGGGTGGACAAGCAAAAATGCTTACATGGCCAATCCAGCGATTTGGAAAAACTATATTTAAATATACACGCACTGGTCGAGAAAAATACGGTGGAGTTCCGTCGTGCATGAATCACATGTCTCTTAAATAAAATAGAACTTCTTCAAGCCGTGGAAGCATTTTTGCTTGGCCACCCAGAAGACCAGACTTCATCCTCTTGATTTTTCTATTTGGTCTCGAATGAAAGATATCGTTTACAAATAATCTATTGGTTCGTATGAAGATTTGTGGCAAAGCGTACAAATCGCTGCCAACGAAGTGAGACGCAATCCCAATATGTTGTTTCAAACTCGAAGATCTCTCAGAAAACGTTGTGTAAAGTGTATCAGTGTCAACGGTGAATTCTTCGAACAATCACTTTAAATCATTATTACGTAGGTATTCTATTTGTTTTATTGTTAATTGTTGTAATAACATGAAGAAACATTTAGTTTGTTTCGCTATTTCTCGTATTATCAAAACATAGTGTTCATTAAATCTGTTTTTCCCGAAATGAAACAAGAGTACATAATTAACGGAAAAATGATTGCTCTTTCAGGTTTTAAACGAAGTTTCATGTTAGACATACAGGGTAAAAAGTTATTAACTAAATTTTCGGTAAAATTGGTCGTAAGTGGTGCCCTCTATGAACAACGCTGAATTTACAACACGCATCTTATTCGTCGTTTATAAAAATATAGTTGCACAAATTGTTAAGTTCCTAACCTACATATTTTCAGAATAATTGCAAGAAAACGATTTAAAATTTTAACTTTCAACACCCTGTATTTCCGAAACTATCAACTTTCGGATAAGGCATGTTTACGCCAATGGTCACCATTTTACGTGTAGTATCTTCAGCTTTCGATTTTCCCATTGTTAATTAATCACCTTGTATGTGTATGTATTTGATTATGATTTTTCTCAGGTCGTTTCATAAAATTCGTTGGTTATAATTCTCATTTGATTTCCAGATTTTCAGAGATAGTAGAAGAGACTTTTTCAGTGAGCATCTTTTGCCAACTTGCGGTTACTGTCGCAGTGCTCTGCTGCGCTATTTGTAAAGTAGTGATCGTAAGTAAAATATCGCAAAAAGTTTTTAGTTCAACTAGCAGTTACACATTCATTTTAGACTCCCATCAGCATGCAGTTTTTAATAAGGACATTTTATACTTTTACTATCGTATTGGAAATTGCAGCCTACTGTTGCTACGGACAGAAAGTGTTGGATGCAGTAAGACCATTTTTCCATTAACAGTAAACACATGTGTACAGGGTGTCAGTTTGAGTAGGGGTCAAGTTTATATAGAGGATACCTTTGACCTTTAGATACAAGTATCAGTAGTTTATTTTTAAAATTCCGTCGTGGAAACTTAATATTTTTTAAGCTTTTTTTCAGTAATTTTCATGTCCTCAAACAACAGCGCGTTAGTCTCAGAGCATAAACAATTGGGAACTGATTTAAGCATTGTTTTCAAATCTCACAATTTTAAGAAAGGGTTACTAGCGCAAATTAACTCACCACCCGCCCTGAGGTACTGCTTTTTAAAGCGTTACTTTTCTTGAGTGGGTGTTAGTCAGGAGCCCTGTCATTCCAGAACAATGAAGATTTAATTTTTTTAAATAAGATAAACTATGAAACAGTACTTAATAAGTGATATAACAGAAAACTCTAGTACACATTAATTTCCTGACTATATTTATTTACTGGGACATTGGTCAATAAAACTACTTCATTTATAATATTTTTTTTCCAATTTCGTGTTTACCCCATCTTTAGAAAAAACATCGTAGGTGATTTATTATAAAAACAAATTTCCAAGTATTTTTTAAATTTTATAAAAATATTATGCGCTGCATGATATTAATAAGTTTAATTTTCCAATATATTGTTAATGAAACTATATTTTAACAAAGTCGTAAGCAAAAAAAAAATTTTAAGGAGTCATTCTGGAAAAAAAAAAGGTTTATTTGAAAAGTACACTAAAGCAAACAAGTAAGTAAGAGTCAAAAGAATTTCCGAAATTTTTCCATGATTTTTGACAGACTGTATTTAGGTGAAATATGGTCGTATCCGGAATTAAAAAAAAATCATTTTGAGCTCTAAGATTCTAGTTTTTAGATCTTTCGGTCGAAATTTTTGAGGAACTACGGTTATCATGCAATTCTAGAAATAGCGCGACAAAAAAATTTTGCACGGACTTGGAAACATTTTTCTCAGCCAAGCCATTGCATAGACCAGATAGCTTATTTATTCAGTTGCAATTTCCTTTTTTTTTTAATTTCGATACAACCATTTTTCATCGAAATATCAGACTTTTAATGGAAAATGATCATTTTGCCTTCAATCATCGATATCTCGGCGACAAATGGTCGCACATAGAATGTAAGGGCAGTTCCGAAAACAGGAATAAATTCCCTATAACATGCTGCCGCGACTTTTCGACTTTTCGGAAAATTTTTTTTCGGGTTTTACACGAATTTTAAAAATCAGGAAAAATATGGTTTTTTAGAAAATTGACGGCTAAATTAGAAATATTCATGAAATGTTAAGCATGACTTTTACAGTTCGATATACCGAGAAGAGCCCTGTGAAGTTTCATCTCGATTTAGCGAACCGTTTCTTTGTTTCAAACAGTCAAACTTTTGAAGAAAATTAAAGGGTTACGTTTTTTGAGCTTAAACACTTCATAATCATGATTAAAATGGAAACAAAAATTTTTTTGCGGTTTTGTCACATTTTTACCGCAAATAACGTTTAAATTGCTAACGAAGAAAAAATGAATTTTTTTTTCACAGAAGAAAAAGGGTAGTTTTGAAAAAAAAATAGTTTTTTAAGTGATTACAGAGTGCACAAAAGTTAATTAGAAATTTGTCTCAAAAAACAGTATGAATCGGGGTCGAAATTTGGTTTGGGTCATTTAAAATTTGTGTAAAAGATGAAAAAATATTTTTTTTCCGAAAAGTTTCGGCAGCATGTTATAGAAAATTTATTCCAGTTTTCGAAACTGCCCTTCAATTCTCTGTACGACCATTTATTGCCGAGATATTAATGATTGAAGAAAAAAGGATCGTATTCCATTAAAAGTCCGATATTTCGATGAAAAATGGTCGTATCCAAATTTAAAAGAAAGGAAATTGAAGCTGAATAAACAAGTTACCTGATCCATGTAAAGGCTTAGCTGAAAAAATTTTTCCTAGTCCGTGGAGAAATTTGCAAATTTTTTTTGTCACGCTATTAGAATTGCATGATATCCGTAACTCCTAAAAAATTTCGATCGAAAGATCTAAAAACTAGAATCTTAGAGCTTCAAAATGCTTTTTTAATTCCCGATACGACCATTTTTCACCTAAATACAGTATGTCAAAAATCACGGAAAAATTTCGGAAAGTTTTTTGACCCTTTAATTGTTTGCATTAGTGTATTTTGTTTGAGGAGAAGAATTTTCAGTTAATTTTTTAACACCTAATTATGGCTAACCCTGTATATAACTGACATGAATGACAATTTTTTGGGCCTCAATGAAGCATTTAAATCTTAAAAATAAAAACTTATTATGTCCCTTTGAAGATGTAAATACAATTAATGAATTTTTCATAAATATTATACCAAATCTATCGGATAAGTTAGATCCAAATATAAAAAATGTTCTAGATAAGTATAAAACAAGACACACCAATGTCGTTGAGTGTTTCGAATTCAGTCAAGTGGACAGTGTAAGGGTGAATACTATTATAAGTAAGCTGAAATCTAACGCTATAGGCGTAGACGGTCTGAATGTAAAAATGTTAGAGTTATTTTTTCCGCATATATCTGATTATTTTACTTTCGCAATTAACAAATGTTTGTCTTCTGGTGAATTTCCTGATATCTGGAAGGATGCTAATATACATCCTATACCTAAAACTTGCAGTTCATCGGATTTAGTTGACTTTAGACCAATCAGCATACTACCAACACTGTCTAAGGTTTTAGAAAAAATTATTTTTGAGCAATTTAATAATTTCCTTACAAATAATAAACTGGTACCTCCCCATCAATCTGGGTTTCGGGAGCATCACAGCACTGAAACAGCTCTTTTAGATGTTACTGACAACATATTTAAATCGAATGATAACAATTATAATACATGTTTAATTCTGCTTGACCTAAGTAAAGCATTTGATACCTTAGACCATGATTTACTTATCCAAAAACTTAAATACTTTGGCGCTGGTAATGTACCAACTTTATTTTTCAAAAATTACTTATGTGACAGGCGTCAACGGGTAGTATGCTCTGGTCAATACTCTGATTTCAAAACTATTCGCAAAGGAGTACCACAGGGAAGTATTTTAGGTCCTCTTTTATTCTCTATTTATACTGCGGATTTGGATACCTATTTAGAGAGTTGTCAGATACATCAATATGCGGATGACACGCAAATCTATCATTCATTTGCAAGTAATGAAATTAATAATGCGGTTGATAGAATTAATGCAGACTTAAAGTCAATGTCTAACTTTTGTATTGCTCATAAACTCATTCTCAATGAAGCAAAGACACAGTTACTTTTATTTGGTAAACAGAGACAAACAATTAGAGTGCATCCTGATTTTCAGATATTTTTAAATAGTAAAATAATAAAACCTCAAGGTGATTGTAAAAATCTGGGCGTATATCTAGACGATAACTTAAGGTTTCAGAGTCATGTCAACCATTTGGTTAAAAAGTCTTATGGGAAATTGAAGTTACTTTATATGCATAAAGACTCTCTTTGCAAAGAAATTAAATTAAAATTATGTGAAACCTTAGTTATGTCGTCATTAAGTTATTGTGTTACCGTTTACTGGCCTTGCTTATTACAATCTGACAAATATTCTCTGCAGAAAGTACAAAACAATTGTTTAAGGTATTCTTTTGGTTTGAAAAAATTCGACCATGTAACACCATGTTATCAAGAGTGTCAATGGCTTAAACTAAGCGAACAGTATAATCTACGTTTGTCCTCCATGATTTACAAAGTCAATGAAAACAAATCTCCTGGATATTTACATGACAAGCTTGTGAAACGTAGTGTTATTCATGGCCGCTCCACAAGATTCCGGAATCTGTATGCTGTCCCGAGGCACCGCTATGCCGAGTATTCAAAATCTTTTTCCTACAATGCCGCAAAGCTGTATAATAAAATCGATATTAATGTTAAAAATGCCCCCACTGTATCATCTTTTCGCAAACATTTAAAACAATCCATTTTATCACAAAGAACTATGTAGTTGCATTAGTTGTATGTTGTATTAGTTTTTATTTAGTTACGTTAGTTTTTAGTTATATTTTGTTATGCCTACTATTTATTTCCAATTACTTATTTTTCTGGTGGTTACGTGGAAGAGCGAGTAAAATCGAACGGCGCCACCAGGTTGCCTAAATCTTTGTCATAAATATGTATTCTACTAATAATAAAGACATTATTATTATTATTATTAATTTATACATTTTTTAGTATTTTATCAAGATATATATTAGGATATTTGTGTTGAACTTCTTTTTGAACTATTTTAGAGTGGTACAATCGCAGAAGCATGTTTCATGTCAAACTGGTACAACTGCTCTGTAAAAGTACAGAAAAATATGGTGATGGTGTTGAACAGAGCAAACAGACCTGTTACAATGAAGGCAGGTGGAATGTTTCCTCTAACTTTGGAGACACTAATGAGCGTAAGTATTACAATAATTACAGTATTTACATTAATGTAATCCCCATATGGTTGAATCCCACCACCACCCAGCCCAAAAACAGGGAATCATAAATACCTTGATTAATCGAGCGCGGATCATCAGCGAGCCAATACACTTGGCCGAAGAACTAGAACACCTACGCACGGCCTTGAGAGGGAATGGCTACACGGCGAGAAATATAGAACGAGCTATCAGGAGGGGACATACACCCGTTGAGAGACAGGAGTACTTAACGACGACGACGTATCTACCTTACGTGAAAGGTTGTATAGATAAAATCGGGCGTCTTTTGAAGAAGAGGTACATCAACACAGTATTCAGCACTGTAAGGAAGGTGGCGGCGGCGTTTCCAAAGACCTGCAACAACGACCTGCTCCAAGGTCCCGGTGTGTACAGTATTCCTTACTCTTGTGGAAAGGTCTACATAGGACAAACAGGAAGACACATCAACACGAGGAACACAAAAGTCACCTCAAAAATAACAACTGGGAAAAAGTAGCAGAGCGTAGGGCGGACACAGAACACACAGTGGATCTGACATGGTGGTGAGAGAACGAAGATTTTGGCCCCGACTATACAGAGAAGCTTTAAAAATTTACAGAAATCCGAACAATTTCAACAGGGATGGTGGCGTAGATCTACCAGGAATATGGAAGAGAGTCATCTGTGAAAGCAACCCACTGGAGCGTCAACAACGTGTACGAGGTCACCCACCGAAACATCATGGACCAGTGACCACATCAAATATAAATAGTGACAGGACTAGTAGATCTCCAGTTTCAGAGTAACTTCTGAAGAAGAGAGCGATATGTCTCTCGAAACGTCAACTGTTATAAACCGACGACGTGGCAACCAGCTCGGAAATCATTCAACCATTAACGATAGCCACGGAAGCCTACAAACAAAACTAATCCCCATATATCAGTGTAGTGTTAGTTCTGTGTTAATGTCAGTAAAAAATAAAATATCGTTGCTTAGAGTTTAGATTGACCTGTTTATACATTTGTCCGACACAGTGAGGTATCTTATAATTATTACTGACGAACTGTCGCGACTCAATGTTTTTCTTTTTTTATTGCTTAGAACGAATGAAAAATTTTGTGTTGTGTTTGACTATATGATTAATAGCATAAAAATATATGGGACATCTGGAATTGTCCCTAAAAAAAAAGAAAGGTATAAAAATAGTTTTCTATTTGCAAAAAATCAAGTTCTCGCGCTTGTATAAAGCAAGTTTATAAACATTCTGTATTTGACTAATTAATGATATTTGTATATTTTTTTCATTACTTTTTCTATTTTAAGATATGGAGGTCTGCATATTCATTTCTCACGTTTCTTATGCAAGTATACAAAGAAGATAACTAAGGATTTTATTCTTTACTCTCCCCTGTCACTGACCTTTGACCTTTACCCCCATCCGTGAAGATTGCATAATAAATATATACACTTATAGTGCTTAATTAATAAATTAATAATGCTTAGCAATTAATTAATTTAATATATGTATGTAGTTATTATGTAGATACTTTCAAATGCGACTTCATTTTCGCATTGATTTGGTAAATGTATAATCCCAGTGAGGTAGCGAACAATAAAATATCGTTTATTAAAACCTTAACCTTCAATCGAATAATCATTGAAATATAATATTAATCAATATCATGCATTTTTAACTAGAATTTTGGCGATATTTAAGATTTTTCGGTACTACAATAACTCCTATTTGAAGCTTCTATGTAACAACTTCACATATTGAAATTTAAAATAAAGTTTAATTAAATAGGTCAGTTTAACGTTTCTTTCTTTGATATACTTTATCTGTATTAATTTTGTTATGTCAAAATTTCCTCTTTATATAATGTTTAATTGTAACATCTACATCTACCAAAATTACGTTATATTAATGGTTTTTAAACCATCATATTCTCACTGGGATGATAATTAAGTATCTCAGGAATCTTTAAAGTTAAATATTCCTTATTGCACCTTAATGCGTTTGCAAGAAAATTTATAAAAATGTATAAGTATTGTGTTGCCACAACACTTATACATATAAAAATAAAGTTAGATTAATATCAATGACTCGTTTCTTGTTATATCCAGGTAATTAGCACCTTATTTTACACTGTAAGAAAAACTGGACTTATTTTCACTGAATTTCACTCAATAATGTATCAATTTCTGTCTACACCCAATTGAGTGAAATTTTCCTCTATTAGTATGAGCACAACTAAAATTGTTTGAGTAAAACTGTCAGTTTTAGTTGAAAAATGTGTAAAATTATCAAAATGCTCAGTATTGAAAATGTACTCAATAATTTCACCCGATGGATTCCCTCCGAACCTTTATTGCTTATGTAATACTGCCTAACTGTAGTTATTGCACTAGTAAATGAAATAAATGTTTCAAACGTATAGAATTTGTTAATTTCACCTAATCTTCTATTTATTTTATATTTGAAACTTTTAAAATTTCTGTTAATAAAATTTTTGAAAGCTCAATAGCTTCTCAGTCAAATTAAATTTAAACGAAATATTACATTATAATTTCTTGTAATATATAACGTATATTTGTAATAGGTAATTAGGTACCATCAGAAATACTGGATTTCATATATTTTATTAATATTAGTAATGGTAGGAAGAGATGTGGACTAAGCTTTAAAAAAAGTGTGCATCAAATGGATTTTATTCTTTACACACACATCCACAAAGGAATACAAGGACCAGACTGCAGGTGTTAAATATTGTTCAAAAGTTTGGATATGCTTCTTTTATTTTTAAGTAAATAAAATAATAGTTTGAAATAATGACCAATCAGCAGTGATGAACACCTAAAACTAATTATGGTGCAATGAAGTGCATTTAAAATACAATCATATAAATGTTTGCTGCTTCAGGAAAGTATTGTTTTACTAATTCCATGATACGTCAAGTTAGCTTGACATACACTAAAAGCTACTTTGTGTAAGGTGTAGAAAATGTGTTCCATCGCGGAATATGTATTATTTGTTTAGTCATTTAAGCTGCTTGGTCTTCAGAATGGTAAACTTTCCAGAGGATTGCGAAAAATGAATAAGCTGATGTGTATATCTAAAACAAGTACAATTATCAATATTTTCCTTTAAGTGTATGTTAAAGATATGATAAATATTGCTTACTGTCATTAAGGTTTCCAGAGTTAATGAAAATATTCCACCAGCTTTCATTAAGAAAGGTGTGTTTGCTCTATTCATAATCATAGCCAAATACTTTTGAACTTGTGTGCTGCAATCGTTCCATCTAGACATGTAGCAAGCTTCAGTTACAGTATCGCTCTAAAAATATAAAGTAGGTAATCCTAATACAGTCGTAACAATCATATTATCGATATTGATTCCTATAATACAGAATGTAGAAAACAAAATTTATCTCAAATTGTCGTCTAAGATTGGTATTTGTGGTACAGGATGCTGTTTACACATATTCTGTATTTCTACGATCTAGATTAACATACCGCGTTCAAAAGTTTTTGACCATAACAACAATACAGTGAAATTTGATATATCATGGTGGTAGAATACGTAACCAACATCAGGAACTGGGCGCTCTTCAGGGGGATCTAAAATATAGAAAAAATTGTATACAAAATACCAAAACGTGTACTCTCGTGTCAAGGAGGTTGGAGAGGATAGAAAGAGCGAAGACTGCAATTTATCTGCGAAGAAGCTAGCCGTGCTTGTGTGACTAAAGTGGGGGAATTACTATTTTAAAACATCGTAACTTAACTACATAACTGTGTTGTTCTTTAACAAAAGAGCGTCTTGGTGGTGGGTGAGAGGAGTGGAGAACTGGCAGGATGCTCAATAGTGTATATATATATA